ATTTTCATATTCACTAGTTTATTTTTAATGAGTTTCTGTAGTGCATCAGGCAGTTGAAAAACAAGAGAAAAATTACTCGGATTTAAAGTTGGTCAAAAAGATGAATGCAAAACACCCTTGAAATCTTTGCTGAAATGACACATCCCAAGCTATGGTTTCAAACATACAGCTATTAAGACAGGCATATCACCTTTGAAATCTTAGCATTAAATGCAGCTATAATAAGATAAACAATAGCTAACTTATTGTGACATGATTATTGTATAATTCTGATGTAATTTTTTTGGTAACCAACTTCCAGTTTAATCAAAGAAACAGCATTAAGAATTATTGCACTTCCTTTACCACTGTCCAGGTGTGAGACACTACACTGACGTGTAGTCAACCTCTTCCTTTGTATCACTAAATACTAATCAACTGATGAGTGATGACAAAGCAAGCTTTCTCTCTCTTGCCAGTTCATCCAAAGCTGTATCCCCAGACCTTTTTCTTCTGTGCCTACTGAGAATACCCACTTGCATGTCTCATTAGCACTGCAAACTCAACACTTTGAATTTTACCCTAATTTTTTTATCCTCAAATACTTTCTTCTTTGACCAGTTCGGGTCAATATTCCACTTTGGACCTGTTGCTGGAGGATTTCAAAGACTATTGACCTCACTTCAGTGACTTAACAGAGAACTGGTCAGTCCCTCTTGCATGCTTCAGCGATAAGGAAGCACTCTTGATCTTAGGAACTCAAGAAATTAAAATGGGCCCATTAATAGGGACTATGAACAAAATGAAGAGATAGAAGTGACACCAGTTGTTCAGTCTCATCTCCATTTAAATTTATTTAAGGGCTGAGCATATTCTCCTTCAAGGTGGATGTGGCTCATGGCAGATGTGGTTTAAGAAGCAGTTTCTAGAAAGGGAAGGAAGACTGGAGGAGTAGGGTTGGTTCCTAGAATATCCTGCTAAAGAACTAACAGAACACCAGCTGCAACTGCTCAGGTCTGTGGTGAAAGCTCAGGACCTTTAGCGTGTCCGTATTCTACCTCTTACTTTCTCTGTATTCTATTTCTGTATATCCTAGTAAATCTACTTAAATCACA